AGGCTTTCCATACCATTTTTCAAATGGTATCTTTCCATCAATAACAGTAGATGGTAGATGATTAATGAGGTGACATGCATATGTAACTGCCTCAGCCCAAAATTCTTTGCCCAAGCCAGCATTTGATNACGATTAATGAGGTGGCATGCATATGTAATTGCCTCAGCCCAAAATTCTTTGCCCAAGCCAGCATTGGACAACATACACCGTACCTTCTCCAGCAAGGTCCGGTTCATACGTTCTGCCACTCCATTCTGTTGTGGTGTATGTCTAACAGTGAAGTGTCGGACGATGCCATCATTTTCACAGACCTTATTGAAATGATCATTTTTGTATTTACCTCCATTGTCTGTGCAAATACACTTGATCATCCTGCCTGTTTGTTGCTCCACCATCGTCTTCCATTTGAGAATAATTCTCAGCACTTCATCTTTGCTTTTCATTGTATACACCCACACTCTTCGGTAAAAATCATTAACAAAGGTTACAAAATAGTGTTTCCCACCCAATGAAGGTATTTTGGAAGGACCCCAAACATCAGAGTGTACATAATCCAAAATGCCTTTAGTATTATGGATCGGTGTACCAAATTTAACCCTTGTCCGTTTCCCTTTGACACAATGCTCGCAAAACTCCAAGTTGCANCTTGTCTGTTTCCCTTTGACACAATGCTCACAAAACTCCAAGTTGCAAGCCTTTACTCCTTTTAACAATCCTTGATCTAATAAAGTTTTCAAGAATTTTCCTCCAGCATGTCCCAAGCGCATGTGCCATAGCCTGGTTGCTTCTATCTCTTTTTCATCACTGGATGTTACTGTCGCTGTCCCAATAACTGTATTACCGCGATAACGGTACATGTTATTGTTCTTCTGATTGACCTTCATTACCACTAGTGCACCGGATCATACTCTCATCACTCCATTTTCTGTAATGATTTTGAACCCTTTTGATTCTAGGGCTCCCACAGAGATGCGATTTTTCTTCAAATCCGGTACATATCGAACATCTGTTAATGTTCTAATCATTCCATCATGGTTCCTTAATCGTATTGAACCAATGCCATATGAGGTAAGAGGGTTGTTATCCGCTGTGTGGACGACTCCATATTCTTCTTCTTGAAAATCCACGAACCAGTCCCTGTTGGGACACATATGATAGTTACAAGCCGAGTCCATCAACCATATGTCTGATAATGTTGATGGCTCTGTTGTAACTAATGAGAAGTCTGAATCATCACCATCATCTATATTTGAATCCATAATGGCCTTTCCATTATTATGTTTGGTCTTATTCTTCAACTTCGGACAGTCTTTCTTCCAGTGCCCCTTTTCTCGATAAAAGGCACATTCATCTTTGCTGGGTCTAAATCTTGACTTGGATCTTCCTTTCTTTGTCCTCATTTGATTTTGAGGACGACCCCTCACAACCAGTGCTTCTCCTTCTCCGCCCTTCTGTTTTTCTCCCTTTCTTTGTTCATAGCTGTACAAAGCCGAACAAACTTCTCTGAGAGAAATTTCGTCATTCCCATGGAGTAGAGTAGTTTCAAGGTGCTCGTACTCATCAGGAAGTGACGCCAACAACATCAAGGCCAAGTCACCATCATCATAAGTTGTATCCATATTTTGCAAATCTGTGACCAACTTATTGAAACTGGTGATATGTTCATTCATCGTGGTACCAGGAACATAGGTGAAGTGAAACAGTCTCTTCTTCATGTACAATTTATTTTGACTGTTTTTCTTCAAAAATTTATCCTCCAGTGCTTTCCATAATTTACTTGCAGAAGTTTCCTTTGTGTATGGATATTTCTGCTCTCTAGCAAGGTAGGATCGAATGGTACCGCAAGCAACACGGTTGATAATTCTCCAATCTTCTTCTCCAATAACATCTGGTTTCTTTTCTTCAATGGCCAGATCTAGCCCTTGTTGAAAAAGGACATCTAGAACCTCGCCTTGCCACATCCCAAAATGTCCTGACCCGTTAAAAAATTCTACCGCAAATTTCACATTTGACACAATTCTTGTCATAAGCGAAGATGCCAATGATGACGTATTGTTGACACTTGATGTAGATTCTTCTTGTTTGTTGTCTCCCATCTATGACACAAATATTATTTAATAGCTGACGACACAAATCAAGATTATTTCCTTTCTGATGTAGAAGATCAGACTAAGCTGCAACCACAGAGCATACTCAGACAGAACCTTGACTCAGTTACCAAGATAAATCTTTTCTGATGTGGAAGATCAGACTATGCTGCAACCACAGAGCATACTTAGACAGTACCTTGGCTCTGATACCAATTGTTGCGGAAGCCAAATGTATATAGTGTGAATGAATCACAACTACTATACCAAAAATTATGACATCCACCAAATAATAAATAAGACAATAAAGCAATAATAAAAGGAACACCAGAATTTACGAGGTTCGGCCAATTTTGCCTATTTCCTCGGACACAACCAATATTTTATTCCACTCCAAAAATACAGGTGAAATAATACTAAAGAGAGAAGAAACAAATGTCTTAAGAAGATAAGAAGGCAAATGAGAGGTGTGTTTAAATCCTAAACATTAGGTCTTCTTTTATGGGGGAGAAATTCTTTCCAAATTAAGTCTCCCACCGATGTGGGAGTTTGCCATTTTCAACACTACTCACGTACAACATTATGAGCGAAAAATATTTGAAGACATGTTTAGACAGTCGTAATCTTTGTGAGTAATATTTGTTAAAAGAAGAATCTTTGCGAGTAATAGAATGTCATATGTAAAATCACAAGTTCTTGGGGTAGTTTTGAAACATACAAAAAAAACTTTTTTATTTTCTTAAACTTCATATAAACTCAAATACTGAGTATAAAATGGAGAGGATTGGTAGAAGTAGTACGATCATGTCTTTGCCTTGTCTATTTAACGTCAACCTAGAAATATCATGCCACTGCGTCTGCATTTATCACGTGCACTGGGTTTAGTAGTACTAATTACTTGATGTCTTCGTCAAATACGTGATCATGAAAGTCTTTTTAGTAGAGGAACAAAAGATTGTGAAGAAGGTTTTGAAGATTTAGAGAACCAAGAAAAGTACTGAGCCCAAGAGCTAGAAAATTATGAGAGTAATTCCCATGCTGCAGGAAATCATGACATGTATTTAGTTTTGGTAAGATATTATTTTGCTTTCTTTTTAAATGCGATATTTGATTTTTTTTTCAGTTTGTTCAAAAATAATTTCAGCTGGGTTTTTATGCTTTATTGTAATGTTTAAAAATCCCGATGGTGATTTTCAATATAGTTGTGAGTACGTAGCGCTTTTTGCTTCAGTCTTAATCAGCAAGTTATTTTTTTTTAAGAAAATTGATTAGTTATGAGTTGAAAATAATTAGTTGAGAAAATCAATAATTTACTAAGTACTAACATGTTATTTATCTATATCGTTGTTTGTTTATAGTAACAATGTTTTTTGCTCTATCGCCATAACCTTTTACTTTTGTTATATTAGCACTATGAATTGAGATGTTGGAGATAGTAAAGATGGGGAAATTGATAAAAACAACTCTTATGACGTTCGGACTGTCCAGTGGCCCGACTCATGCCGCCAGTGAACTGTTACTAAGATCAACAAAAATAACAATATAGACTATAATCCCACAAATAGGGTATGTGAAAGGTATGTGTACGCAGACCTAGCCTCTACCTTGCGCAGGTAAAGAGACTGTTTCGGATACTGAGATCATTTACTGGTAAATTTAACCCATGAGATAGCCACAATTCTCCGAAAAACCCAAGAGAATAGATACCTTTTAATTTTATAGCAAAATATTTAATTTTGGTTACCTCCTAGCCCTAAGCCACTAAATACGCTAATCAGTTACAATATTTTCTCTCTCTTTATTCTGATACATCCCATTCTCTTCCCCGTCCCATTAAAATTTCAAATTCTCTTCCTCTTTTCTGTCTAATTCGCTTGCGATTTTCTCCTCCATCGATATCCTCCATTGTAACAGTGCTTAAAGAGGAAGATTCTTTTTTTGTGTGTGTATCACGGAATGCTTGATGCCTGACATTAAAAATCTACTTACAATTAGGGGTAAACTTGATTCTTCATCAACTTAATGTAAATTCTGGCCGCCTACGTCAAAGCGGAAATAAGAAATCAAAAGAGAAAAAATCCATTTCAAGAGGAAAGTAATGGAAAGCTGAATTAGTAGAAGTCACCCAGCCACTGTTGTCCACATTAGAGCAAATAGGCCTGCCCTGAATGGCTGGTGACACCATGATCAATTAGTCGTATGTCTTATTCTACCACTAAAATTCCGAGCACAACGCTCTAACGCTCTGCATTAAAATTAGGGTTTGTTCTTGAACAAAGACGAGGAAGTTTGGGGCTGAGCAACTTGATTTTCTGTTAATATATTTTAATGTATTTTCATGTATTTCATTGTATTCATTGTCTTTTTTTCATTGTAATTCAATGTATTTCGTTGTATTTCATTGTATTCACTATTTTGTTTCCATTGTACTTCTCCCGTTGTATTCTATGTATTTCATTGTATTCACTGTCTCGCTATATGCCATGAATGTATTCATATATTTTTTTTAATTAATATAATATATGTATTCAGATGTATTATATAATTTCTCTGAAGATTGTTCTGTTTTTTATGTATTTTTCGGTTGAAAATCTTTTTTATAACTGAAAATACAAAATTTATGTGTTATAATTGAGTTTGTTGAGTTATATTAGGAGTCTATTATGTTAATTGATTCACTTTCTGTTTTAAAAACAGTGTAATCCCCTATTTCACGTCGTGAATACAGTCGAATACAGTCGAATACAATAATCTATCCAGCTGTAATCCCACGTTTCACTCCATGAATACAATCGAATACAACAACTGATTAGCTGGACTTCCCTAATTCACGCCTATTTTTGCTACTGTATTCATGAATACAATAGCTTAAATACATCTTATAACCACAGAAAAGATATCTATAATCCGTAATATAGCAAGTGGTATCTATAAATGACTAATTACTACTAAAAGATAGTGTTTTATGAAATTTTCCCAATAAACATCGGACCCCCAGACTGCATCTACACAGATTACTTGTAGTCAACTCGAGGACAAGAATGACCACAAGGATACTGGTTACATTCATAACTGTTTGTTGGTATCTAATTAACCTATAACTTGGAAATACAATAAAACATTCACTCCAGGATCCTATACTGCTCCATCCCAGAAAGGAAAGCAGCATGTGCAATAAATGAAAGGCCAATCTACATCTGATATACATTACAGTAGTAAAAGCAAAAACTGAAAAAGATTGTTTAGGCCACAGCATTAGGGAGACTATTATTGTGAGCTTCCAGCTGTATACTGAGGTCATCCAAGTTGACACAACCTTGTATCCGTAATCCATGTTCATTTGCAAGATGCAACAAGCAAATAAAGCATAAATGTGGAGATATAGCCTCAATCGATGCTGACGCTCTGCATTCATTTGGAAAAGCAGCCAAGATGTGCTTGAAAGATACACTTTCTTCCTGCATATTAAGATGTGAATGAATATAGATGTCCAATAAACAAGCTAATAAGTAAACAAATAAAGCCCCGTCGATTAGAATGTCATGCTGATCAATTGAGGAACTGCTTAACAAAAGGAGTCTTTAACCACATCTATTAAGAAAAGATTCAACAACATACCCAGTAAAATCCCACTAGTAGGGTCTAGGGAGAGTAGAGTGTACGCAGACCTTACCCCTACCCCGAAAAGGGCAGAGAGGTTGTTTCCAGGAGACTCTCGGCGCAACAAGAGAGGCAATAATATCATAAAAGAAACAAGAGAAAAGACATGTAACAACAAAAGATACCAAAAAGAAAATAACCACAACAAATAAGTGAAAGGACAATAACACAAAACTATGCAAAACAACAATGTGAATACAACAAAGACAGCTATTAAGAAAAGATTGGTTAGAGAAAATGTTATATTGTCAGACAGTTTAGTAGTTCTACAATCGCATTAATGACTATGTAGTTATAATCATTTGCCTTACACCTTCCCATCCTATTGAGGGATTCAAGGTGGATCCACGGTCAATCAGCAAGCTTATTTACAGAAAATGAAAGGATCCTGTGCCTACAGACTTGATTTCCACGTCAGATATCCAGAAAATTTACATACTTGATTAGTTATCTACAAATTTCCTTCTCATCTACTTAGTCGCTCTGTTATATTGGAGTTTGAGATATAGAGCAAGAGCAGAGTACTATACTCAATTTAGGAGCTCGGAATAAGGGAGAATTAGGTGGTGTTCATGCAAAATGCAGAACAAACTCCTTCCATCCCAAATGAACCTACAAGTTGACTTGGCATGAATTTCTAGCTATGAGTTGAAAATGTACCCCTAAGAGTGTCAGGTAAACTACTTTATAATAATAAGTGAAAGAAATTATGAGCAAAAAGATAATTCAGCCCCATTTATTGCCTCCACCTTAGTTTATATCAAAATCTTTTTGTTTGGGACATCACTAACTGTTTGGCAAAATTTATTGTTCATTTTAAATACAACTTTCATAAGTTCCAAGAATTCAAATTCATTTAATCAATCAACTGCGTACTCTTTGTTTAAAGAGAAATGAAACTGTCACAAAACCAACCAACAAAAGATATATATAAGTAGAAGTAATCTTTTAGTTTCAAATAACATATCCACTTTCCACATGTATGTTAGTACAGAAAACGATGAATCATTTACTCATCTCTTTACAACCTTTTCACTTGCTATTATTTAAGAAGAGCAAAAAAGTAAAATGTTTTGACCTGTATGTTCCCGGGTAAGCATTAAATAATAATCTCTCCTTTTCATTTCATGTGGCATCATCACTAGGCATGGTCTTAAGAAGTCAATTCCAAATTATGTTGAATATTAGTAGAAATTCTACATGGGGAAAAATGCATAAATGCACTCCCATCCAGGCCAAAATCAGAATCATTTCTATGTAACCAAGAACACACTGCCAGTGAAGTAAAAAGTTTGAACTTACCTTAACTGATGTTTGATTTAATTGGTCCCAAAGCGTTTCCTTAAGCACTTGAACATCTACTTGTTTGGATGTTTTATCATACTGGACTTCAATCTTGTTTACCTGTTAATTCAGACAAGATAAACTAAGGGTTTCAGTTTGCGTCAAAAGAAGCTCTTCATCTAGCAGATTCTACACTGAGGAACAAAATTATTTTCTAATAGCAACTGTGCAAAGAAAGATGAAGTTTTACTGTGGGAATTAAGTTTCCATTAAGCAAGCAAAGTGAACATTTGACATTTTTCTTCCCACAGATTAATTGACAGATAACATGATTTGAAGTTTCTTTTCTTTCTTCCATTTTCAGCCTAAAGAAATAAAGGAACTAATACTTACCAGTTCCTTGAAGTTTCTCACTTTTAGTATTGCTATTTCTTTTCAACATAAAGAATGACTTATTACCAATAGTACCAAACAGCCAAAAAGACAAAGAAAAAAAAAAGAAACAGGCATTTAAAAGATCAGCCAATGGCGTGGAGTTCATCAAAATAAAAAACAGCAAACAGGGTTTTTGAAGCAATAGGGCCAGGTAATTGCATAAGATAATATTGGTCATAACCAGTCCAGTACAAGTTGCTTAAATGTTTAGATCACAGTTCTGCAGGAGATCTCAATCTGTATAAATCATACCTTATCTGCCTAAGTGTCCATGAGACCAAATCAGAGGGAAAGTGGATATAGAGTGGGATTCACCTCAATCTTGTTTCGACACCAAATTAGGACAACATCTTCAACTATTTAGCTTCGATTCTATTTGAGCTAAACTAGAGTATGCTTTTAACAACTTTTATTAAACGCTGGTCTTGTGCACACCTCGCCTATTTCACAAGGTACTTACCACCTCCCACCAGCACATGAACCGGGTAACTTTAGACATCAAGGCTTAGGCAAATGGGAAGAAATAACCAAAACTTTTTTCCTGTGATGGGATATTAACCCTAGTCTCTCACGGTTCTCATTCACTTCCGTTAACAACTTTAGCCATCCAAGAAATTGCCTTCATCATTAAAATAATATATAATGATCTCTTTCCTAATTCTAGGTCAAACCTAATCTAATCAAGATTCAAGTCTTGAGCTCCCCATTAGCCTATAGCAATTAAGTTACATTCAGAGGAATCTAGATTACTACAAGTAAAAATAGTCAACATTTGAGAGGAGGAACAAACCTGGCGAGGTTGAGAGACAAGTGTACTTGACTCCTCAACATCACTAAATGCATTGCCATCATCAAAAGTATCATCAAAAGTCCCAGGAAATCCACCATCATCATCCCAAGATGGCATAGCTCCAAAATCATCACTTTGTTGACCGGCTTCATCTAACCAAAGAACCAGGTTAGTCAAGTTACATAATAACAAAAGTTTCATCTGTCACAATATGTAACATTCCTATTTCTGAAGAAAACTAGTAAATATGCAATAACAGGAGTACGCTACTTCTATAAGCAGTAGAAGACAAAATCTAGGAAATAGTTGAGAAGCCAATAGAGGAAATCTGTATATAGGGAAGAAGGGTTAAGGAAAGAAAAAGATATCATGGTAAGCACCATCATAGATCCAACTCAAATGCAACAACAACAACAACTCAGTATAATACCACAAGTGGGGTCAGGGGAGGGTAGCGTGTATGCAGAACTTACACCTACCATGGGGGTAGAGAGGCCGTTTCTGAGATCCTACTCAGACGCAATAGCATAAATCATTTAAAACACTTAAAGAATTGTCATCTTTGTTAAGCCACACCTGCATTACTGTCCCAGTAGACGTGTACCAAGCAAAAATGTATTTGAATAAAAAATTCAGCATTTACAGTTTGAAATCAACTTGCCGCAACAGAATCTATCACCCATAAATGTTATGCATGTCCTTAAATATATCAAAGTACAAAATTTAACAACAGCAGATGGGCATAAAAGTTATCTCACCTGGGACTTTCTTTCCTCTCCTTCCGAGGCACTAAGGCAAGAGAATATAGGCAATCAGAATATTTTTAAGGTAATCAGCAGATAACAAACTCACAAAGCAACTAGAGTTCACCGTGACATTGGATCGGAGAAACAGCTTCACAAGATTCTCAGGTTGATAATGACAATCTTCTGGAAGTAACCTGTTACACGATGTTCTATTAGCTGGAAGGAGTAGTAACTTGGGATTCTTTGGAGGAGCAAAGACATGCGATAGATCAGTGTCCAATGCTTTTGTGAAAGAAATTTCAGGTTCTGCTTTTCTGCTCTTTGTTTTCTTAGTCTTTACTGGTGATCCATCTTCCTTGCAAGGCTCCTCTGAGACTGTGAATGTGATGAGTTATTAAACACCAAAGAAACTTAAAGTGCTAGAGGTTTCTCCCATGACCATGATGGGAGAGAGAGGAGAGATGAAAAAGTTAACATTCCTTTTGGAAGTCCTAAAAAAGCTTACCTTTCACCTTCCGATACTTCCAATGATCAGGACCAGCCCAGGAATTGTGCTTTGAAGAAAATCCTAAACTTAAAAACAAGTAATCATCAACTCTCTCAGATCTGTCATCATCTTCAGCATCGAGAAAAGTAAATGGTTCAGTGCCCTGCAAGACAAAGCCCAAAGAAATACCAGATTTCAGTTGTTCTCTTTTCAAAGGCCTCAATTACAAATTAGTGTTGAAAGCAACAACAAATAAGTGTGCTTGCCACCTCCTGTTGCCCTGATGAAATTTGATCAATATTGTGAGAGCCTTGTTCTGCCACATCTATTCCATCATCATGATCCATCGGCCAGGCTCCAGAATTGTCAAATACATCACCATCATCCACATCTAGGCCAAACGATTCAGAAGTTTGTTCTGGTGAAAGCTGGCTAGAAAAATCTGTTTCAGCTGGCACCTGCATCTCTCCACTGAATTGACTAATCATATGCCTCAGACTCGGTGATATCTCGTCCTTCTTGGGCATATTCAATACCATTTCTTCAACACAATCTATACTAACGGAAAAAGTTTATAGCAATCAATTGATAGTGGCTCACACACAAAGGAGCTTCCAGCATCTAAATACAAAAAGAACCCAAAACTACGTATAATTCCAAAGCCACAAACCTTTAGCAAAACATATATCAATGGAATCTGTTCTATCATTCCGAATTTCTTCTGGTATTGACTTCCCAGGTATCTCGCATGAATCAAAAAGGACACTGCAAGTACCATAGATTCCTAGGTTATTCAACAAAAGACCCTTTGCACCACCTTCATCAAACTGAGCTGATGTCTGATGATAAAGAGGATCAACAGCAAAAGCGGCTGCAAAATAGACAAATGAACCGTTTATAAAGCGAAAAAGGATAAATTCAGACAAAGAACAAAAATACCAAAGATAAGAAGCGTGTATACCATCAAATTTCTTCACATTGATAGAATCGAATGATGACTCTAGTGTTGATAAAGGCGATAGCTGCAATTGTCACTCAAATTAGTTTAGGAACAAGAAATTATTTTGTGTTTGTCATAAAGAGAAGAAGAATGTGAAGTATTAACCTTTTTTTCTTGCTCTTCTCTAGGGTGACCTTCCTCCTGCTCATTTTCAGCATTGGCATCCTCTACAACAGGATCTGGCATACAAGCAAAATATTAAGAGATAGAAGAATAAATGCACCAAGCGTCTAGGCGACTCCGCATACATTCAGCACGCACCTAAGAAGAAGGCAAATAGGGAGGGAGAGAGAGAGAGAGAGAGAGAGAGAGAGAGTAAACAATGTCGAGAAAGGTTTGGAAGCATAAATAATTAGATCAAAAAGATAAAGAGTCGTTCCAATATTTTGAATGCCTTGGCATGAGAAGGCACACGATTAAAATGAGAAGATAAAAGAGGAAATAAATTTTGATTCACGAAGTATTCTTCAGGGAAGATTCAAACTAGAAAGACAATGTAATTTGGAAAAATAACAAACAAAAAAAACAATTAAGCATAAAGAAAGCTACCAATGATGTAGAATTATTCTTATAAGGCATTACCCAGCTAGAAACCTGATAAAGAGTGCATTGTATGCACAAAATCAAAACATACCTTGATCATTTCCTTTACCAACACGATTGATTCCTCCAAGAACTTTATATGCCTCTGAATGTACTGAGTCCACCCTCATTGAGTAAATCTTAACTCCAGCCTCAAGAGTACAACTAGCCTAAAATCATAAAATCACAAATAGCAAACAAACATGTCAGCATAGTATGTTTGTGCCTGCAAAATGAGAAAGTTATGATTTTAAGGTTAGCGATCTGTGGTTTGCATTTTATATATATGTTACAAAGTGCAATAGGATGGCATCATATCCATAGGCCATTGCCACTGCTCGTGCACGAAATTCAGTGGAACATCCTAGAAACATATCTAACTAAGTGTACATTCACACTTAAGTTTGAAACTTTAAACCAACCGCCGCCCTTCCAAACACACACACACACGGTATAACCAGAAATCAAAAAATTGTGTCTGCGTGATAAGATCAAAAAGCTACCTTCTGAAAGTTGGTCTCAGAATCATTCTCTTGTTCAACTTTAACGATTTCGCATAGATGATCAATCAAACCTAGCTCCCAAGTATTCTTCTGATTAATTTTCTGTTTCCAAGTAGAGATAAAAGTCAAATGAATATTCATCTATAAGGAAATGTGAACAAAACTTAGTAGAAGTGAGACATTTTCACTGGCGAGTTTGATGCAATTCTGGAAGAGTTCGAGAATCTGCTGCTCGTCAAGGCAAGTAGATGACGGAGGCGGGACAGGGAGTGGTTTGCGACGGATAACGGCAGCACGGGCGGCGCGTGCCCGAGCACGTTCAAGCTTGTCATCATTGGAGCCCAAGACAAATTTTGTCGGAGAAAATGGGCCTTTCTGTTTGGTATTAGGGCTTAGGGTTTCGGCCATTGCTGTTGTCAGTTTACAGATTTAGTGGACTTTACGGTCACCGGAAGTGAAACGGAGAAGTGGTGTGGTGTGATTTTGAAAGTGTGGGACGGTGGATGTTTCCGGTGGGGGTGTGGAGAATGGAGCTTCTGATTGTCGGCCGGATTTGGGAAAGTAAATCGAGTTTTTCCCACCTTTTGAAATTTTGAATTTGGGACGCTGGTGCAAAGCAATTTTATCTTTTTTCTTTTTCTGTTTTGCCAAGAGCGGTTTGGTTGGTATATGTAAAATATACTCCTTCCCTCTTGTATTAACAAGGTTACCAAAAATAATTGTTTTAAATTATTTGTTATTTTAAAAATTCAAGACAAAATTGATTTTTTTTCTTTTTTTACCCTTAGTAAGTAATTATTTTTGAAGATGAAGATAACACATAAATAGAATAAATACTTAATAAAGAGAGATTATATGTTATGACATAAATAAGGGTAGAATAGTCCAATCCATTTTCTATTAATATTTTTTAGGGGGTGTGTAAAAAAAAACTCAAACGCATAATATGAGACGGAGGGAGTAGAACTGTAGCAAATTTAATCCCAACATAAAACTTCATAATACATTAATACTAATTAATTAATTCGTTGTTAAGTTGTTAGTCTTTTCATAAATACCGGAAAAATGTATGTATCATTTCAATAGCCTATTTGGCCAAGTTTCTCCAATTTTAGAAACATTTTTTTCAGAAAAAAAAATGTTCTTTTTTTTTCAGAAAAAAAAATGTTCTTTTTTTTCATAGTTAGAAGTATTTGGCCAAGCTTTTGGAAGAAAAAAAAGTATTTTTGAGGAGAAATAGAAGCAGTCTTGGAGAAGCAGAAAAAGATAACTTCTCTCCAAAAGCACTTTTTTGAAAAATACTTTTGAAAAAAAATACACTTAGAAGCAATTTTTAAAAGCTTGGTCAAACACTAAATGCTGCTCAGAAGTATTTTTCAAATTAATTAGCCAAACACAAATTGTTTCTCACCTAAAGTACTTGAGTATAGCACTTTTAAGGGAAAAAAAAATATTTCTCAAAATAAGTTAATATTTGCAGTTTGGCCAAACATGCTATAAATATAGTTGACTGTGAAATAAGAATATGAGTATTAGTAATACACGACCAAAAATAGAAAATGATAAAAAATTCTCTTATAATCCTCATCAGATTTATTTCCTCATTTTTCTTTGAAAGTATTTAACTAGATATAATATCTACAATACAACTTTAGTATTAGTACTAATTTGCACATTACAACCTTTGCATAACTTATTTGCAAACCAAATGACCCATTATTATTGTTATCTAGAAGCCAAACTTATGATGAACGGACATTGGGACGAACATTGAGATTTTCAAAAAAAATAATGGTAAATAGGTAATTATGCATGTCTTCTCAGAGGTACACGTGTGCTACTATTAATTTGAGCAAATGTGACGACCCGACCCGTCGTCACGTGAGTTACTGCCCTATTTCCCCCATTTTATACTTCTTCATGTTTCATTATCGGTATTCGGTGTGTTAGAGTTAAATCGGATTGGTTTTGATAGGAAATGAGACATTTAGTCTCTTTTAAGAAGGTTTAAGTTGGAAAAGTCAATCGGGCGTTGACTTATGTGTTAGAGGGCTCGGATTTGAATTCCGATGATTCGTTAGCTTCGGGGGATGATTTGTGACTTAGGAGTGTGATCGGAAGTAATTTTGGAGGTCCAGTGAAGAATTAGGCTTGAATTGGCGAAGTTAGTATTTTGGCGAATTCTGGTTGATAGGTGAGATTTTGATTCGAGAGTCGGAATAGAATTCCGAGAGTTTATGTAGCTTCGTTAGGTGATTTGGGATATGTGTGCAAAATTTCAGGTCATTCGGACGTGGTTTGGTCGGGTTTTTGATCGAAAGTGTATTTCGGAAGTTTTTAGAAAATTAGGCTTGAATTCGATGAGTTTTGGGTAATTTGATGTTGTTTGAGGTGTTTTGATGATTGGAAGAGGTTTGAATAATGTTATGAATTATGTTGACATATTTTGTCGGGGTCCCATGAGGCTCGGATAAGTTTTGGAAGAGTTTTTGGAAGATTTTTACCGTTTGAGCATAAGCATGTAATGATCCAAAGGTCTATTTTTAGTTCTAGAGATCGAAATTTTATTTCGAGATTTCCAGAATTTAAATAATGAATTATAGGAGTGATCTGGAAAGTATGGTCTAATTTCATCAAGTCGCGATTGGGTTTTTGACGCGAAATATGAGTTAATTGTTTAACGAGCAAAATGGATATCGCACTGAGCAAACAAGCTCCGAATTGAGTTTCGATTGAAGGACTATGTTCATATCATTATTTGTGACTCATAGGAATAAGAATCATCGAATTCCGAGTTTGTATGATGGAGTTAGAGCCATTTTAATGAAACGAAAAAAAGCTGCAATTTTTTTGGCTGCTGCTGTAATTTTTTGGCAGCGTGAACAGTAATCGCGTGTGAATAGTAACCGCGTATGAACAGTAACCGCTCGGGTGAACAGTACTTCCGAAAAATTAACATTTCATCCGCGAACCCAACCCATTTTTCCACCATTTTTGAGCAACCTTGAGAGCTTTTGGACGGGAATTGAAGGGGTTTTGACGGGAAGTGATTGGAGGTAAGTCCTATGAACTAAATACATGATTATATTGTGAAATCATCCTTGAAATTCATGAAAATATAGCCAAATTGTAAGAAAATAGGGCTTGAAATTCTAAATTTGGGATTCGAGGGGCCATTTGTGGTCTGATTTGAGAGATTTTTGTATGTATAGACTCGTGGCGAGATAAGGAACCCGATGACGTAAAAATTTCTGAGTTTCGAGATATGGGCCCGGGGCTCGGGTTTTGTCAAATTCGTGAATTTTGATATTTTTCGAGTGTTTTCGATTGGGTATTATCCCTTTAGCATAATGTGACATATTCGTTATGATTTTGGGCAGATTCGTCGCACGAGGAGGCTAATTTGAGAAGCAATGGCATAGCGATCTAGAGCTTTGGCCGATTTGAGGTGAGTAATTGATGTAAATGATGTCCTGAGGGTTTGAAACCCCGGAATTTCACTTCGTAACGCTATATTGAGGTGACTTGCACGCCGGATAACGGACGTGGGGTAGAGCACCATTGNATTGTTACATTTTGGCTTCTTGCCAATTATTTGAATCCTTCAGGGATTGACATCACTGTTTTCGCATACATCCATATCATTTGATCTCCGTCCAAGGTTTTAAATACTGTTTTGCAAACTCAGCCATCTTTCTAAGATTTGAAAATTTAAAT